GACGCTGGATACTATTCAAGTATCCAGCGTCCCCCGGTATATATATATATATATTATATTATACATAGCACATATTTTACATGTGATGGGTACATTAGCTGCTGCTGTGGTGTTGCGTGTTGTTGCATGTTGTAGTTATTGTTGCGGTTTTTTAGTTCAAACAATTTCGTGCGTTGCTGCATGCAGAGGAGAGGGAGGCGACGACGAAGTCGCTGTCCTTTGCCTACTTCTTTGTGGCTGCTGCTTTGCGTGTGTTGCTATTTAGGACGGCGTTGTACCGGACTTGCTAATGAATCCGCATGCAGTTCCTTCTCGCATGACAATAGGTCACCTTGTTGAGTGTTTGCTTGGAAAGACTGCAGCAATTATTGGGGGGGAAGGCGATGCGACTCCTTTTAACGATGTAAGAACGTTAATTTGTGTTTAGTTGTCGCATGCAAAGGCACTTTCCTTCTTTTTCTTTAAACCCAAACGCAGGCTACTACTCACACGGAGGTGTGTGTAATAGGGTGATGATGGTGGTTTTGTGCGTAATGTGTGTGCATATATATATATATATATATATATATATATATATATATTGTATATGTGTATGTTTGTATGATATGCTGATGCGTTGTGTTGTGTTGTTACAGTACACCGTATCCTGGATTGCAGGTGAGTTGCACCGTTTGGGTTTCGAGCGTCACGGCAACGAGCGTCTCTATCATGGGCACACGGGTTTGCACATGCCTTCTTTGATATTCATTGGGCCGACATATTACCAGCGTCTTAAACACATGGTAGACGACAAGATACACGCGCGAGCGAGGGGCCCAGTAGCAGCGCTGACGCGTCAGCCTATGGAGGGCAAGAGCCGAGAAGGTGGCTTGCGTTTTGGGGAGATGGAACGTGATTGCATGATATCTCATGGGGCTGCTCGCATGCTTAAAGAGCGTCTCTTTGATCAAAGTGATGCCTACAGAATACACTGCTGCGATATTTGCGGAACGATGTGCGTGGCTGACCTGCAACGCCTCGCTTTCGAATGCAAACTGTGCGGAAACAGCAACAAAATATCACAAGTCTACATACCATATGCATGCAAACTACTCCTACAGGAACTCATCTCCATGTGTATTTACCCCAAACTGGTGCTACAGGTGGCGTAAGAAGCCACAGCCCCGGTCAAAACTGCAAGCAGGCGACTATCCGTCTAACTTATGCGTGAACTTGCATGACTCCATTTCTGCCCTTTCGAGTGCATATCGTCTTTGCAAAAACTTGGGAAATTGGTGCTTATTGCAAATGTGATGAGAAACGGTTTGATGGGGTACGCTACAAGATTTCAGTCAACAGCAGCTTTTTTTTAGTCGGCCAAGTCCAACAGAGCCTAATAGTTCCGCAGAAGGCATAACTTAGGGCCCCGATCAGCTTTTCAAGCAAACTAGCCGGAGGCAGATTGGCTAACTGGAGAACTAGGTAGTTGGAGAAGACTGAATTGGCTGAAGCCGAGAAAGCTAGCTGGAGGCTCCATACACGGAGGGTGGTCATGGGTTTTTCACCGGAACTTCCTGATTAATCCTGTACGGCTTAAATTATTACATAGAAAAAAAATGCGTACGACGGAACGGGCCGAAGACAAAAGGGAGAGTTTTAGGGCAAGTTTCCGATTCTGCAACAGAGCCACTCCTTACAGTCCTACAAGGGCTGGCCAGACGAAGTCAATTGCAGCATTTATCTCTTCTGGGCTTCTGCAGCCCAAGACGAGGATTTTTCCGGTTCGGAAGATCAAACAAGTCGGTCCTTTCGCTTTCGCATTTCGGCGGCCTCGGAGTTCTCTTCCTTCTGCGTCGACTGCAAAAAAATCTCCTCCTGCACCAGAGGACAGGACAAAAATAAAACGGATAAAATGAGTAAGTGTTGTTCACGTTAGCAAGCATCATCCAAGCCGAAAGCTCCTGTGCTTGTCGAAATAGGCGGGTAGGACATGGAAGCAAGCAACTGCTGATCTCCCTTTCATTTTGCATAGTTTTTTCTTCTTGGTGTATTTCTCTATCTCGGCTTACCAAAGTCATCATGTGCGTCCGCCGCGACATCCCCTCTTGCAAGTTGTGTCTGCTTTTCTGCGCTTTCTTGAATTTGTTGAATCTGGGGAATTCGAACGGCGACGCCGTCTCGTGTATCAATCGCAGCAGTTCTAAGCTGCGGGTGTTGCAGCACTTCGCGGATATCGGGCCGAAAGGAGCCGCCCAAATCCACGCGGCAAACTAATTGCAAAACAGAAGCGGCCTCAGGGTCGAACTCAATATGGGGGTTGCAGAGGTACTCCACAGTTGCAGCGTCGTCCTCGCCTTCTCGCTGAGGCAAAAGCGAGAAGAAACAGAAGCAGATAGAACAAATAATCGCCAGCTAGGCAAGGAAGAAAGCAGAGCCAGGGAAGGAAGCAGAAGCAACAGAGCAGGCCATTGTCCACTGCATCCTCTGAGATGCATTCCTTGATGTACTTTGATGCATTTGGGGATTTTTAACTGCATGCGTAAACAAGAAGAGAAATCACACCGCACCTGCTCAACCGGTTTCCACCAGACTCTGTATTTGAGTTTATAGGCCACTCTGTACGCCTGCCAGAGCGCCTGTTCTTTCGTGATGCCCCCCATAATAGAAAGAGATCCCGTAGGTGACAGCACAGCTGTGCATGCAGGTCTTTGCATTCTGAATACAACCGGCTGGGACGCACCAACCCCAAGTTCGGACTTGGGCAGACTGCGTGCGATCAGCAGCAGCTCTGAACGGGTGAAACCGCGAGAGCATAGACGAACGCTCAGCCACAAGTTTGTGATAAATGCAGAGGGGTTCAGCTGGCCACTCAAAGGCAAAGGTATGGGCTTAGGCGGCAGCTCCAAAGCCACAGGTCCGGCTTCCCCGTTTGCAGGGGGGACAGGCATCAGACTGCGCATTATAAACGCCGCTTTTGGTCAAACAACAATCACCAGGGAATGTTCAACGCATTTTGAGTGCATCCCACTTCACGCGTCTTGTGCTGCGTCCCTTCGTACTTGTGGGTTAGCAGTGCTCCAGCAGCCAATAAAAGGTTCTACAGTGAGCAAGAGGTTGTCATACCCCGGACGACGTAGAGTCAAGGGTTCAAAGTAATACGCACGCATCGCAGCTTGAGACTAGAGATAATACAATGGGACTATCGGGGCTATGAAGCGTCTTTGAATGTGCGTATGGATTTCAATAGCTGCGGGAAGTCAAGATCAAAGAAGCTCGACAGCAGATAAAAAAGAAGCTGGTAGCCGCGCAGGTATATGTACACCTTTCTAACTTATCATCGTTATGACTAATATTTTTGGTTTTCAGCGTTATTGTTGAAGAGGGTGTGGTATTGGTACAAAGGTTTTCTTGTCCCGCTGTGGGGCTGCCGAAACGCTCGCCTGCACAGAAGCAAGGGGTCCGATATGTCTGGAACTCAAGGAGAATTTATAAAGGACACCAAAATATAAATTAAACGAAGCGAAGTCGAATTACAAGAGAATACTTCGATTATATTGAGCATTACTTCACCGGCGACTTGTTGCATCGGCTGCGGCCAGTTACTCTGCCTCCGCTAGCAACAACCCAGTTCCAGGAGCAGAGCCATACAGAGAAATATGCCCGAGTATATGCCTCTCGGCCTACTGCCATAATATGGTGTGCTGAAACAAATGAACCCATAACAGTAATGCATCCCATTCCCGGTCAGCCGTCAGGCGGTGATTAAGTCATCGAGGCTTGGACATACCGCCCGATACAGCATCGGAAATAATTATTATTGAAACTGCTATTTTCAAAAATAAATACAAGGTTATCGCCGGCGTGAATTTGCAACAAGACTGCCATTAATAACTCTAATGCGTTCACAGGCGTTGGGAAGAATGAATACTTCGGGTTGTCTGCCAGGTTCATCAAGCAGCCTTGGTAGGTAATCCGCCCTTCACATTGGGGGCTCCTTTGGGTTCCACTTAAAAGGAGTACTTTTTGGGCATTACTATTTGGTTGCAAACTTGAAAAGCAATCAGCTGTGTCTAGAAGTGCATCGTACTAAGTGCACGCCTCCAAAGAGCAGCCCTACAAAACCTGAGAGGAACAATAACAATATAATACGAATCAGTTCAACGTTGCATAACAGGCATTTGACAGCATCTACACGAGGTTAGTCAGTTGAATCGAGCACATATTAATGTGCAGATGCCCCCAGAATGCATCATTAAGTCACATTTGAACTATGCTGCCGAATTCTACTGCTGATAGACAGCTAAAAAGAGCAGAAGCTGCCGCGACGATGCAGGAACTTGCACAATAATCTGTTGTTGGTCGTGAGATCACTTTCTGGGCGAAGATTCAACAGAAACCAGCTGCTGCTGAGCACATGAAGACGCGCAAACCAAGGTACCTTCGTTGCTGTTTTGAAATTCACCTCCAGTGTTACGAAAAAGTACGAGAAGCGGAGGGACCCAAACTAAATACAGAAGTCCAAAAATATACAAATATGCATAAATACGCATGTATTGCGTGTAGTGTGCTTGCATTATAAAACCTACGGATATATAAACATACAGGATTTATGTGCTTGCCAGTTGGGCTGCGGCGGCACTCATTACCTCAAAGGATTAAATCAAAAGGCCCTACGAGCGGATGCTTTAGTCAATGAAAACCTTCCAAGGTATTTCTTCAGCGACGTGTTTGGAGTGTCATATGCCGTTTCTGGGGTTAATGCGAGCCGGCATACGTCGGGTTGTCCGCTAGGTTTAGCAAGCTGCTTTGGTAGGTAGTCAGCCACTCACATCGGGGGCTCATGTTGGGTTCAAAGGAACCCCCGATGTGAATGGCTGGCTACTTACCAAAGCTGCTAGATGAACCTAGCGGACAACCCGATGTATTCATTTCCTTTGCGCAACGCAGTTGAATGCAGTAAAGCCACTAATAGTGACTTGGTTAACAAACACTCTACTATAACAACTACGCTTTGCAAAACTATCACAACCCCTGGCCTCTTCCGTCAGCGACAAAGCACGCTAGCTTGAGATGAGAAGGTTTTAGTTCTCTAGCTTTGCGCTAACGGCACTGCTGCGCAAACGGAAGCTCAAAAATCGCGGAAATGAGATAAATTAGAAGCAGTCATTTGAAGCCATGGTCCGCTTTAGCTGGTGCTCAAGGAAGCTAATAGAGTGCAGGCACGCCCGAAGAAGCCCTTCTTTGCGGCTCTCTTTCTTTCTCGTTAATCGTGTTGCTTCATTATCTAAGTGCAATCTGGAAGAACTCGTTGCATGAGGACCCTCCGGTCTGAGGCCATTGTAAACGTTGCGTAGATCTTCCTTTTCCGAGAAGCTCATTTCACTTAGCTGCAACGGATCTGCGGCGGTCGAGTTCCTCTCTCGCCGCTACATTTCGTTCGTGCTGCTTTTGATGTTTTCCTCACTCACGAAGGACACGCTACTGTGCAATTGTGCTCCTGGAGGAGTGAATCCAAGTTGATGCAGCTCCCTTCAACAGCACTTTCTTCCTTCCCAGCTGCTGGCCGCCCATTGCGTTTCGCGCCCCCCGCTCGACTCAGCGTTAGTAGTTCGTGCTCCTGCGAGGCGACAGCACAAAATAAGGTCCCAAAATAACAATGAAATAATCTCCTCCCCCGTTCCGAAAGCGTCATTTGAGCTGCTGATGAGCGCTTCCCCGTTGTGTACTTCAGATTGTTACGGAGTGACCGTAGATGCACCGCTTAAGAAGGCTCGCGGAAGCATTATATTATTATTATTATTATTATTATTATTATTATTATTATTATTATTATTATTATCGCATCATTGTTATGTTACTAATACTGTTGTTGGTGTTCCTCGTTATTTTATTTGCATTGATGCTTCTATATCACTGGTAACTACGGGAAATATGTAGGTCAAACAAATCAAGACGACCCACGGAGAGAGAACCACACAAATTTTGCCGTAGGAAATCGAGCGTCACAAGAGCCCCCGACTCAGCCTGCACTCACACACCACTAGCACTACCTGGAACCCTCATTCTTGTCCCATGTAAATTATCGCGTTTGCGTTGATTACTGCAAAAGGAGCAGCGAAGGCAATGTGAACGGTATCCCCTCAAACTACGAAACAGAAAAAACGGAACGTTTCCTCTTGCCTTTATTTTTTGAAGTTCTTCAGACACCTTGGCGCAAACCTCGCGCACACTTGCGCGGGGATATTTGTCTACGTGGTCTTCCATATGCTGAAACCCATGAATGGTAAATAAAATGCCAATGCGCATGCGTTTTGAGCGTTTCAACAGAGTCAGTGCCACTTCATGTGCAACACCAAACGCACTCAAATGTGCGTTGCCTGGCAGCGTCAGGTAATCATTTTTGTACTTGGGCTTGTGGCGTTCATTCCTTCTACTATGCTGTGGAGCTGATAATTATTTTTTCGATGTTGGTTATGTTTTTACCTTCATTGTACGCTCATCTGCAGCTGTAATTCTGAACGTGTGCCCATTAAGGACAACTTCAGCCCCAACAAAGAAATCCTGAGCTGTGAATTTCCTCGCTGTTTGAGGGTTCTGTAGGTTGTTTGCTTCAAAGAACTTGCCACCTGCCTGTTAACGAACCGCAGCGCATAGAGTATTTCAGCTAGTGCAAACTCGCGGACGGCGCAAGCAACCCAAGGACCTCTCCACAGGACACTCAGATCAGCCTGGGTGGTTGCAAACATTTTAATTCGATTTCGTTCTGCTTCCCTCTACACAATGACTGCCCCTGTGTCATAAGATGCTGTAGAGGGCGGGGCACCCTACGTGGCCTGAATTGCGTTTCTGATATTCAAAGACGGTGATTTTGTCGGTTAACTCGCGAATCGAAATCCGGAATTCTCTGCCAATATCCTCTTTTAGGTTGCTCACCAACTCCGCCTGCAGTTTTTGCAGTTGAGGCGAAGTACACCCTCACGCTCAAGGCAGGCGAAGGCCATATTATACCCGCGAAACCGCCATTTGACAGTGAATAATTGCCCCTCAGTTTCTGCCAGCTTTCAATGCTTACTAACTGCGCACAAGCGGCTGCAGCTACATTTTTAAACTTCGGCTGTGCAATATTCCTCTTTGAACGCTGGACTTGCCTTGAAGTTGAGAATGACGTCTTCTCCAAAGAGAATCTCACGTTCGTTAGGATGGGGCCGCTTAGGGGTCTGAACACCAGTCAAAGAACCCGCCATCCTCACGTTTTGTTACCTGTCCTCACTGCGTGCCTTCAAATGATATAAACAAAATGGGTACATATTTTTCTGTTTTTGATGCCAATAATGAACGATGGGGGTGGAGGGACCACGTCCGAATACGAATGCGCCTACTGTGTACGAGGGGCAGCATTTCGCTCTTTCCGTATTAGGACTTACTATACGTGCACAACACTGGAGTGTATCTTCTTCAGTTCCTATACCAAGCGCATGGGGGGGCCACGTAGCTGGCGGGATTTCCTGGAAAAACAACGCGAAGGAGTAATGTGTCAGAGCGTCTGAGTTTGGTGTGAATGAATCTGATCCAAATGCACAACAGCTGAGATGCGTCTTCTACCCTTACGGGCCTCTCTTCGGGAATTATTTCTTTGCCCTGCTCCATGTTCAAATACTCGCGATAGAACTGCCGCGTGAATTCGTCGCAATCATAAATATGGAACTGACGTCCATATACATTTATTTGCTTTCCCACAGCGAGGTCCTCTGGCCTGCGAGTTGAGCTTTGCACAAGTCTAGTATTAGCTCTCACTAATACGTAATTAGTGCTCCGTGTAATTCCCGGAAGTTCTAGAATGAAATCCTGAGCATTGAGCAGGGACTTTCGTTTCCGTTTTTGTTGTGTGCTTCTTTGTTTCTTTCTAATTTACGTGTATGTTTGTTTCGGTTGTCCTCTTGCGTGTAGCAGCCGTTACTTTCGATAAGGCTGTGCTCACGTATAGAATTCGCTTCGACTCAGCTGGTGGTCAGACAAATTCAGCTCGCCTAGCTTCTTTGGCAACTTTCCCCTCCTGTGCGAAACACTCGCATAGTAACTCCGATCTTGTGTTCCGCTCACAGCTGTAATGTCTGTGCATATACAATGCCTATGACCGGTGTTATTATGACCTGTTGAGGGAGAATTACGAAACATGCGAATCAAACAACAGGAAAGGATTGATACCTCAGGAAGGTAGAGTAGTTGTCACAGCCGGAGTTCTTAATAGGACTAATTCTAATCTCCACGGAATCGTCTGCAGGAAACCACAAGGGATATTTCCACGTAATCCTTGATAACAATGAAGATAGAGGAAACGATATTGCGAATTTTGTTGAACAGCTGGCTTCCCGATCGCCATCGCTGTACCATCGTAGCTGGAAGCGAGATATCGAGCGCTGAGCCATTCATTCTCTAGCCAGAAGAAAAACTTTAACCCATCTTTGGCCTATTGCACGCTTACTGACCACTGAGGAAGTAGTGCAGCTTGTAGTAGGTTCGGCACCCAAAGTTCTGCTGGTTTTCCCAGTAGCAGTGAAAGGCCAATACTTTGCTGCAGTGCAGACAAAACGTAGACGGCAATCACCCCGGTTTCTTTAACGCTTTATTCCCTCAACTGCCCCGTTGTCTTGCGCAAAATCATGTAGAGTGGAAAGACGTTGCAGGCGTTTGCTGGGCTACTTTCTAGCCATGCAGGCAGTCGCTAGCTGCACAAGTGTCTGACCGGTCGTTCTGTAGGTACTGATAAAGCAGTTTATTGGTGCAGGTGTTGCCTCGCGATGCCTCGGCGAAAGCCCGCGCGGCCCGAATCTCGCTGAGAACTGCTGGTGATGGCGTACAATTAGGCCTTTGTTTCATTACAAATGCCTGGAAGAAGGTATCGTTAGGTAGCTCCACTGCCTCCCCAATTTCGTGCCCTACGTTGCAGAAGATACATTAGGCTCAAATATAGTTCGGTGCCATGCACTGCGTACATAACTGGCGTGCAAGCAACACCCATATGCCGAAGGGCGCTGATGATAGCAGAGACAGGTGGGAGTCAATCCAATTCACTTTCATTAAATGAAAACGGTGAAGCCTCCTTTACCCGCATTTTTACAAAACCACCGCGTGAATTCATCGCAATCCAAAATCTTAAAAACACGGCCGTAGAGCTCTAGCTCAGCTCCGAGCTGCATGTGAAACACCAGCGTACATCTGACTCCAGACCCTAAACCCCAACCCCTTCTTCCTATGCGCTTAGAACACCATGCATACACCGCCGGCGGCTGTTCTGAAGGAAGAGCGCTCCTGTAGCTCGACTAACCAACCTTTAAATCTGTGAAGGTAACAAAACCGCTTCCATCTGCTCGCGGCATCTTGTGTCTTTTCAGAATTGGTCCTTGTCGTGTTTCACCGTAGTCCGTGGTTGATTCATAAACGCTGAGGGTTCCGTCCTCTAGATAAAAACAAATGATGCAGAACCGCCGTCTGCTATTCTCAACCGCATTGCCGCTGAAGGGCTCTTGGTAGAAGGCGAAGAAACGCAGAGCTTGGCGGTCATGCTTCAGCCATGCAGGCTCTTGTGTTGGTCTGAAACGGGAGAGCAGCAACACCACCCGTGGCAGTGATAGCACGGTCGATCTGATGCGGCATATTCACTTGAACAGCCGAGGGATCGAAACACCTAGACTTCAGTTTCTATGGAGAGCAACATAGTGATAATGCAACAGTCACCGGTACGATCGGCGCGCAGCTGCTTTAGCAGTTCTCCTTTCATCGTGCGTGAGATGGTGACTTTCACGGTCTTCTTGACCACTTTGGCTAAGAAATGTCCATTCCTAAGTACACCTTCAGACATCCGTCTGTTTGAATAATGGCTATTCTTTTATCCTGTAGATATAGGCGCTGCATAGTTCGTTGTGACTTAAGGAAATGATATTTTGCCGTTTAGTTACGCAATCAAAAAATCTTTTTACGGTGCCGGTAAGGGAACAAATTGCCGATAGACGCTCTTTAACGGTCCCACGTCACTGACCTGTTCAGTGAGTTCTAGAGGAGGAGGTTTCTGCCTGTCTTGCCGGCCTGAAGTTGTATAGTTGAGGGTTTGCCTCTTGAAGTACTTCTCGCGGGCTGAGTGGTCAAGCTGCAGCTGTTGCTGCTTGATACTAAATGGGATGCAAAGAGAGAAAGTCTGCTGACCGGCGAACACGGAAGGCCTCTGAAGATCCATTTTTAGCTTTCTTCTTTGTTTTGTGCTCGTTTCAGTCGGATCGCCGTTGGCAGCTCGAGGCTGCACCCACGGAAGGTCACCTCCCTTAACTAGTTCGATTGCCGTTTGAACGGACGGCAATTCGTTTCATTTGATATAATAGCATTCGAATTACTTTAATGGTATGAAGCACTGAACCCTTCCTAGCCCTTCTCTCGCAATCACTGAAGAGCACAGCTGCCCGCAGCAAAACGCCACGCGATCGCTGCTGGAACGCATGAGCAGAACTCTCCTGCCTCCAACCCCCATGCAAAATTTACCTCTCAACAGATTTTTAGATCTTCATATCTGTCTTTTTAGTTAGCCATCTATTCGTTAATCCCACGGAAAATCCAAGGGGCTGCGGCCTGTCCACGCCGCACGAGCTCCGTTGCCGGTCACCTCAACAATCGAAGAGACAGAGCAAGTATAATATGCCCGTTTGACCAATTCCTTCTTCAAACGGGTGCATTCGTAACTTACACTGAACGTAGTTACAACATTCTAAGCAAGAATAACGAACAACTGGGAGTAGCCCCGTGCATGCACTGCACAGTGCCGGGTTGTCGCTCCCTGCGTTCAAAAGTAACCGACCAACAAATGTAAAACAACCTCTGTCACTGAGTAGCCATAAATGAATTAGCCCTGTTTCGTAGGACCTCTACGCTGTTCCTATATGTATATTCGTGGGTATATGTAACATATTAATCCGATTCACAGCAGTTGCTGTAACAAGCCTCCTTAGTCCCAAAGCCTCGTTGAGCACCTCTGCGGTCCCCAGGGAAATGGGTTTCATCACCTACTGCCGCCTAACTGCATGCAAAATCAGGATAATGGACTGTATAACAATTGGAGTCCGTTCACTTCATAATGCGCAACTAACAAGCCAACGGTCAACACCAAACCCAAACTGTGCATATAAGGAGAGGAGCGTGCAGTGTTGCTTACCACGTACTGAACTCATGTAATGCGATCTATGCTAGATTTATGCATGCATAATTTCCATGAAATAACGGAAGAGAACGTACACAAAAAAATCCAAAATCCTGCAGGAGACTACTAAGATAATACGAGGTTAAATGAAATTAAATGGGGAAAAAATGAGACTTTGAGACAAAGTGGGATGGGGGAAATTAAGAAAAATGAGACTTAAAAAGATAAAATGATAAACAGAATGATGAATGAAGACAACGCTTGCCCCACGACTGCTGTGCACAGTTTCCTTTGCTCTCTTTGATCATACTGGCAGTGAATTACGGACTCCATTCAACAGAAAAACCCAAAACCCTGAGCCCTAAGCGCTACGAAACACCCCCCGGCAAAGCTTCTTTCTGGGTTCCTCACCCATATCGGCGGAATGCTCTTCACCCTGAGGAGCGCTGAACCTTGTACTCTCTGCCAGCCCTTCAGAAGCGGAAAAATGACATCCCATTTGCGCGTCTTGGGTCTGTGAGAGGCGCAGCCCTGTGATGTTGTGCTCTGTGTCGCTGGCTGGGCTCTCCGGTGTACAGGCAGGCCTGTGGGTTGGGCAGTTTCCTTTTTTTTCCCTAATAGCTTGTGAGGCCTTCAGTGATGCTCTTTCCCCGTGATCAGCTGAAGCAGGGGGCCGCAAATCCCAGTCAGATGGAGTAGCTGTTGACGTCTGTTCTTCTGTCTTTGTAGAATGTGCCGCGGTAATTTCCGGCTGCAGAAAGCGCTGCTCCAGGATCTTGGCTGCCTTCACAACTTCAGCTTTCGTTGCATTTTGACTGGATATTAGAATATTCAGGTGTTGCCGCATCAGGCGAGCTACTTCGGTGTCAGAGAGTTCTGCTTCTGGGTCACTTTGCGTCTCAAGTAGGGCCCCATCTGATGCAGGATTCGCACTTTTAGAGGGCCTCCCAGCTTTGTTCTTGCTGAGAAGTTGCTGAAGCACCAAATGCAACTTACAGTCGAAAAAAAGCTGTCTATACCCTTGCCGTGAGGCCTGCTGCTGTTGCACGCCGTCAGTGTCTGACGGCGAAGTGCATGGCTGCGACATGTTGCAGCAACTCAACGCGAGGCCAGATGACTCATGCAGAGATATCTGGCAGTCTGGATCCGCCGAGAGAAGGGTCTCCTTACGATTGTCCTCTGTCATCTGGATGGGGGCCCCTTGGCAGCTCTGCGTGGCACCGACAGTTGCTCTGAAATAAGATAGCCTATTCCTCCACTACTTCTCGCGCCTCTTAAATCCCTAAGCATACAAATGTTCCTTCCAATTCAGCATAACTCCCAATACCACTGCTGCTTAGCTCGCCTCCGCATTTGAATTGACGTGGGAAGAAAGTGGACAGCCGAGGTTCCCTTCGTTTCCGCTCCGTACGAGTTGTGCAGCAGCAGCAAAACAGCGGGGGAAAGAAAAACGACTTCTTCTCATTTCGGATGCTCAAAGAGAGGAAAGCCAGCATGAAGGTATGCAACAACTTGAACATCAAAGTGTCCAACAATACGAACGGTCATCGTCGGTTGCTGTAGTGATATGCTGCGTGGTTCTACGAGGCTTCCTTCTTGAATGAATCATGAAGCCATTATTTCAAAAGAACAGTAGACGAGTTTGAAATCACATAAATAAGACACATCTGAGGTGCATTATTGCCACGTGCTTTACATGGTACCGGGGGGCCCTTCGGTGTAGTGAGCAGCGCTCTGAGCCGCCGCTACTTCAGGCGATTTGTAGTGCGCAGCACTAAAATAATGCGCCAGGACAGCCTCCAGAGGCCTTACAACTTAGAATCTTAAGCAAATAATGTGCATTAATAAGTAAATCAAATAAAGAAACCATCTGGAATGGCGAAACAGGCTGCCGAGTAGAGCCAAGGCACTGAAGCTGTAGTGAACAGGGCTCACTGCTGCTCCACTTACCGGTCCTGTGTTTTAGGTGCACACTCGATGCATACAGGCTACACTCAGCGCATAATCATAGAAGAGCAGCCTGGGTCCAATCCTCCTAAAGAAGGAGGAGCACCAACGACAGTGATCCCCATGCTTGCCCCTTGCTTGTCAACGCCTCGGCTGCAGTACCAGTCGCATAGCCAGCCCCAGATGCTGGGTAGCCGCAGAGCACTCTTGGCCTGATAGCCTTATCTCTCGCCTAATGTTGCTTGGTTTATTTCCAATGATATATTAGTTTTACACTCTCTGTATGATAGACCTCCAGAGGTCCAATTTGAGAACCATTGAAGTGCCAGCGCACTACACTTGGGGCCCCCCTTTCCATGAAGCCCGCCCGGGGTATGCATAGGCCGTAGCATCACGTTATAACGATGAAATTTTTTTCGTCTTTTGAGCGTTAGCTGATGAGCTAATGCAGGCAATGCACACAGCGATCTGGGAAACAACTAGTATTCATGGCAAACGATCTTGCGTTGGTCGCTCTGCATCCCAATTGGTTTCTTCGCCTTGTCTTTCACACGAATCGGTTTATTTAAGCATCACTGATTATTATTCTGCGTTCCCGCAGGAGGAAGGAGGACAGGAAGGGCCACAACCAGCCCTCTATACGCTTCTTCCTAATGGGGCCGTGGGAGGTGGCGTCTCCATTTTCTGCATTTTCACCGAAGTGGCTCATCTACACGGCAACGAGGAGAACATGGGCATGTGATCCCTCTCTTGGAAATAGATACTGTTATTTATTTCAACCACTGATTGCACTTCACGGGCGCACTGCAGCGCACCACAGCAGCGACAGAAGAGCCGATCTACCGCCTGCTTTGCCCCCCTTCAGCAGAATCCTCTTTAATTGCATTTCCGGTGTATATCCACCTCATTTGACTTTCCAGCTTTCAAGCGGTCGCACTTATGCAACCGCAGTTGCATCCGGTGCTGCATTTGCTACTGCCGACCCCTCTACCCGATCCCCTGCAGACTTGCGGCCTTCTCCGCAGTCTCTTCTGCCCAAGGACGGCCTTCTTGCTGCTCTAGAGGCGGTTAGAAGAAGTGCAGACGCGGGTTCTCTCTATCTATTGGAGTCTGTAAGGCTGGCTCCTCTGCAACAGGCTGTGGCCTTCCCGACACAGGAAGCGCAATCCAGTAGTTGCATCTTTGGAGCAGTTGGGAAACTGTTTGTAGATGGTTTTCGCTTAGCTTAAAGGGAAAACGTGTATGTAGTCTCATGCGCTGACAGTTGCGGCGAGTTGAGGATCCAGCATTCCTACTACTGAGGGTTTGGGGTCGGCTGGGTCAACCCATCCCAGCAAGCAGTGCACAAATACACTTTCCTGTGGTTTCGCTGCAGCGCCTAGCAGAGGCATTTCCTGAGCATGTAGAAGCAAAAGCTAAAGTGGAGGCAATTCGAGAGTTGGTGCAGCACCTTCAGCAACTGAAGCAAGAGAAGGCGCGCGTGTGTTCTGCAGGCACTCCGATAAGGACATAGCTTATTACGCGCTTACTGAGGCCGCTAAACTCTTCCTTTTTGCAATATATATATATATATATATACATATATGCTTAAACTTGGGTGTGCGTGCATATGTGTATCT